AAAAAAGGGGACAAAAACCCCCCAGACGGCAGGCAGCCATGGCGATATCACTTAGTTGGTCTGATGATTATAAAGTGTTGATAAATTCGCAGTTGGATAATGGCGATTTTCCACAACGAGGTAATTATAATCACTTGGTCATATTCGAGTTCACTATGCCAAACATTGAATATAACTTTAAAAAAAAAAATCTTTACATAAATTTGCAGGAAATAAGAGGAGTGTTTAAGATGAATGTGCTGCTACATTATCCAACATATAGGAACATGTTCACTCTCTGGGCACTCACATATTATACTCAAGCTCTGCGTCTGTAAGGGTTTGGTCACATTTGCATCTTATCATCACCACTATTTTACTATGTATAAGCCTCTTTAATTAGCTTTCCAATGTATAATAAGCATCTTCAGTTTTATTCACATGATAATAAGATGAAAGTTTTTCTTTGGATCATTTGTTTGCAAAAAGAAACAAGATTTTTCTTAGTAGACAAATCAAAGAATTTGACAGCAGTATGACAAAGAACAGAGTTTCAATTGATCTGCCAACACAATCTCTGGCCTCTACATTAAAAGATAATACTATAAGCAGGTTTCTCAATCTTTCTAACTTCTTTGGAAAACTAATAGAGGTTGAAAGTGGAAACAATCTATACTATTAATTGGGAAGCATTTAATAATAAATAACCTTATAAAGGGTAAAGAATTACAAAAGATGCCATTGGAATAATTACAATCAAAGAGTAAATGAAAAAAATCGTTGAAGGGCAAAATCATAATTTAAAAGCAAAATACCCATGGATCATGGGCGACTCGATCAGAAAGGCACGCGGATCCTGGGCTAATTTTTTGGATTGACACGCGGATCCTATGGATCCAAAATGGACTGTTAAAAACATAACAATTTATTACTTCACAGTTATCCTTGGTTTGATTCTTACGGTTGAGATTTGGCAATCTGGAAAAAATACCATAAAACCAAAGTTAAGATATTATCAAAACAATCGTATCCCAATAGTTAAGGTGATATCTAATTTTGTTATCATTCAGTTACCAAAAAAAATCCAAATTCTACATAAACACAATATTCATTAGCTCTCAAATAAAGAATATAACTAAAATATATATTCAAAAGATAGATTCGCAAGCATATTCTTTACATGAATTACATCTAATAGTTTGTAACCCTAGCCGACCTCTTTTCCTACAAATTATATATGATGTCTAATACCCTCTTCAAGACTCCTTAAGCTAGCAAACGACATCTATACCTTTCTTACTCATTTTTAAAAAATGGCTGCAAATCTTCCCATCACCAATCATGCTGACATGAAACCTTTCAAAACTAAATGGAAGATCCAAGTGAAAATTGTCGTGGACTCAATACAACCAATACACGGGGAGACC